CATTCATTGAAAATGTATAATTAATCTTTCTACAGTTTGTTTTAAATGGATTAAATTCAAAATACACAATTACTTCTTTGAAACAATATGTAAGAAAACGCGACCATAAGGTCGAAAAAAAAAGAGATGCATAATAAAAATAAAGTAAAAAATGTAGTAAAGATATATCGCGGTTTTCTGACCTCTGAATTCTGAGCTATCTATTCTAATTTCAATGTCAAGGGTAGAAAGATGTTTGAATTTAGGTTTGGATTATTTTATGCTCTACTTCCATAAGGTTACTCTTTTTTCTGTTTTTAGAAAATCATTAATTTTACTTGTTCGTACAATGACTTATTTTTGTAGAGCTATTGTGATGAATATTTTAGAACTTCCAAAAAAAGAAAAGCGGAAAAAAGTATTCGATAACTTTATATGTCAAACCATTTGATTATGAAACATGATGTAATCAGTATAAAATTATGTTTATATTTGTATCATCTTAGTTTATTGATTAAAGCGTATCTTTTGGCGGAATAAATAGTTTTATATAAAAAAAATTTTAATCTTTTGAAAAATTTGAAAATTAATTTTATTTAAAAATTTCTTTCCATTAATTAAGTTTATTTATACTTAAAGATTAAGTAAGAATTAGAATGTTAGAGAGATGTAAGGACGTTTAAGAGAAAGTTGTTCTCTAAAATTTTAGTTAAAATATCTTCAAATCTGATTAAACTTGATGTGTAAATATTTTTTCCAAAATACAATTTTGTTCACAATTTGTAAAATAGTTTTTATTTATCATGTAATTTTACTTTTGATAAATATCTCAAAAGTCTGAAAACTTATCTTTTGGTGGAATAAACTCTTTTATGTTCGAAATTTGCTAGTTTTTAAATTTTGAAAATTAATTTAAATAAATATCTTTCCAATAGCTATACTCATTTACATTTTAAGATTAAGTAGCGGAATCGGTCAAATGTTGCAGTCAATTTAAAAATATAGTCAATTGAAAATATATCGCGATGTTTTCCCAATTTATGTTATTTTTACCTAGGTCAATAATTTTATTCCAAATAAAATTTCGCAACACTCATAATAATATGGTATTGATATATTATCACGACGTACAATATTCGTGATATTATATTTTTAATTTGTTATCGATAATGATTGCAGTATAATCGTAATCGATATTTATAGTTATCACTGTTTTTTTTATACATCCATGTACAGTGAGCAAAATAAAAAAAAGAACCACCTAAAATAACTTTTGATCTAATGATCGGATCTTCACGTTCTAGGTATCACTCCTAATGGTTGGAGAGGATGAACTCAAATATGCTAATTAGTTAGTGTCACATTTACACTTAATGTAAAGGGACAATTTAATCTTTAATTTTACCTAAGTCTTTAATTTTTCTTTAAACTATATTCCTTTTTTCGATATAGCAATTTTATTTTAACTTTCTTGTTGACCTCCCTCATGGTCAACGTGGTCATCGCTCTTTCTGTGGGTGAGAACCAACCCCTATTTCTTTTTTACTTCTTTTATTTTTTAGGGGGCTAACTAACCAATCTCTTTCCTTTAATTTTCAAACTCTCCTCCTCTTTGAACTTAATTGGCTGTAACTTTTCTGTTCCCACACCAGTTAAGGAATTTTTAAGTAATTTTTAATACATTCTCTTTTCTCGAGCCTTCGGGCAGGTTACCTTTTTCCCCCCGAGATGCGGACTTCGGTCCGTATCAAGGGAATTTATGTTTTATATCTTTTTCTCAGCCAGCCTATAATTTAAATTAAATCTGTGAAATTAATTTCTGCAATTTTAATAGCTTCATTTTTAACTTTAATTTTTTTTATATTAAAGACCCTCTTGAATTTAAGCTTTCTCGATATGAATATCTCTTTCTATAGTTAAATTTCTCGTTTTATTTATTTAAATCTTATGCATGACACCTCTTATTTCTTTATTCTCCTGTCATCCATTTCTATTAAGCGGCATTCCCAATGTTAATTGTTTTATCAATGATATTTTCCACTAAATACATTGTGAATTGTTTTGAAATAAATGCTCACGGACGATAAATTCTATGTGTTCATATCTTCATTTGCTGTTCTCATCAAATTCTTCTGTATGTTGTGGGTGAGTTTTGTAATTCTTCTGTTTTGGGCATGCTTTCTATTATTATATTGGAAACATCAGCTTACCCCATTTATCTTAAATGTCAACTTGTATCTGGATATAGCATGATTTTGTCTTATTTATCTTTAATCTTTAACTTATTTTAGTTTCGCCCTTTGGTGATCCCAATTTACCCAAACCTCACATTTTGTGACCCTTAAAAGCTATTGGGTTGTTGTTATCCCACATTAGCTTTGCACTACCACTTTCCTTAACGATCACATTCCCCTTTGTTTAATTACCTTTTATATATTTCGGCCTTAATTTGTTTATCATGACATTTCAATTATTTATTTATTTTTTATCATGACTATATCCAAATACAAGTACTTTACCAATGATTTCAACCCATCTATGAATTTTAATACATAAATAACTTTACTTTATTCGCACCAAATTAATATTTTTATTCAACTCTAACAGTTAGTGCAGACCATATTTTAAGTTACGAAATCACGCACAAAAACGTACCTTCTCTGACTAAACGTACCTTTTCTTGACGGTTTTGGATTTCTGACCTTCAAAATATAGGCAAAAGCCGTAATCTGAAAAATATGGTCTCAATAGTTTGACAGGAGAGCGTTTAATATTACGGCCACTAAATGTTAATTTTACTTCTTGCATAGGTCACCACACTACGATAACATTAGAAGTGAAAAATTTTTGCACACAGTTATAAAATTCGTTTTTATAAAGTAAAATATAACTTTTACAAACACTTTTATATAAAAATATAACTTTTATCTATAAGGACATAACTTTTTTTTTAAACAAAACAAAATATAATTCCATACAAAATATAACTTTTAATAAATATTTATTATTTTTTATTAGTGCATTTAATAGTAGTCGAAAAAATAGAATAGCAAGGTATAAAAATTTTTTACATCAGTTTAAAAAATGCAATTTTAAATGGAAAAATTAAAAAATTGAGCGAAGCCGGTCAAATAGTTCTAGAGAAATCAAATTTTAAATATACGACTTTTTTAAAACTCGATTTCTCAGGAACTAATCGATCGATTTTGCTTTTGTATTTTTCCATGTAACATTACGTTTTCTGAAATTATGTAAAAAGTTGTATATCTTATGATTCAAAATTTTTTTATGGGTAAAATCAGTTTTTTTGAGTAAATTGACAGATTAATCCAAGAAAATTGAAATTATTTGCCAAATAATCGATTACAATTAATATTTTTATGAATCTGTTAAACGGAATGAAATTTACTTTGTATTAAAAATTTATGACGTGCTCAATTCAATCCTACGATTCTCTCTCTAACAAGCATGTTCAAGTAAACAAAGCGCCATCTTGTCACTTTCTTGAAATTGCAAAATTATTCGCCTTATTAACTTCTACTAACCTATACTTCACCTATTATTAACTTCTATTAACGGTCAAAAGCATACGATTAATGGTATACTTTAAGAACATAACTTTTTACACAATAATGTTAAATAGTCACATACCATAATTATTCGAAAAATTTACGGAGCTCTAAAAAAACCCGATTTTTGCTACAGATTGGTGTAAGCTTTATATTGGAGTTAAAATTTAACTACACCCTTTGAAGTGTAAAAACATTCAATTGGTTATTTACTTGGAATAAAGTAATAAATCAAAAAAATTTTAGAGTTTTTCAACACCGCATTCAGATAGGTATTACACCGCAGTTTTTGCAGTGCACAACTTTCCGAAACATGCAAATCCAAAAAATTATGCAAATAATGACAAGATTTTTAAAAAAAGGACCTTGCAGTATTATCTTAAATCCTTCCATCGCACTTCATAAAGGGATACTCTCAACTCCAGAAGAAGACCACTAGTGTATATCCACCTGACTTATGACGTCAGCTGGTTGTTCATAAACAAGACATGGCTTGTCATTATTTTGGATATTGCTGTCCAAGTTTCTCCTTTTAAGTTATAATGCTAACTATAACGTGAAGTTAATTAAATAAAACTCTGTATTGCAGATCGAATTAGTTAAAATGTAATCCCTTTTTGTCAACGTATTTTATTTAATCTAGATTTATTTTTTGCTTATGTATTTTATTATAACCGTTATTATTTTGTTTTGTGTATCTGGCTGGTAACTTTGTAGCATAGTTTATGCTTTAAGTGACTTTTCGTGCCTGTATTTGTGTTAAGTAAGAAATAAACTAAATATTTCTTAATGAAACAATGTGGAATGAGTCACTTAAAAGAATTTATGTTTGACAAGCTGAGGCTTATAAGGCCTGTTTATACGATCTAAGTTCATGGACCAAGATTGTTTGAAATTGATGGAAACTTGTTTTGCTTGGAGCATGGGATGCGTATAAACAATCATCCAAGTTCTTGGATGACAGTAGAGCATGTTCTACTTTCAATCCAAGTTTTTCCTTTTATAACCAATCAGCTTTTAAAGTTTCATTACGTCAGCGAGCTGGTATATGATCAATTAAATTTGTTGTCCGTTTTCATAGTATATTCTAATCTCAAATTATTCTGTTAGGACCCATTTGTGCTATTAGGATATTATTTTGCTTTCTTGTAAGTATGATTTTGAATATGAGCAATGCGCATGCGCAGGTTTTTTATCTGACCAATCAAGAACTTGGGTAGTGTCAACGAATCGTCCAATTTCTTGGACAGAAATTCCTCCAAGTCCTCGGATTCAAGTACTTGAACCAGGCCTTTTCTCGAAATGGAAAGAACAAGCGCTAACGTAAGCAAATGTCGTGTTTCAACACCCAATCAGGATCTATATCCACTATGACGTCGGTTGCAAGCATCTAATCACTGTAAAGGATGATTAAGAAGCAACAACTTAAATGCAATGAATTAAAGAAGCATATATTTCGAAACATATTTTATTCAGTCATATATATATAATATATACAAGAATAATGTTGCCTTTGCATCTGTTTGTACAAAAGCAGAAACACAAGCGATGCAATCAGAAACATTTTCAAATATCACAGCTATTTCTACATAAAATGTCAAAATTATATGGACAACATCATGTTTGAGCAGTCTGTCAGTTTCTATGTTTGCTAAAACTTTTTAAATCAATAACACATAGTGAATAAATATGGCACAATATAAGGGGGTTTCTCTATGTGCATGTTTTACACTGGTAGAAATCAATTAATGTTGTTCAACAGAAAACAACAAATGGATATCCACAAATCATAAGATAGACAAATAAAGCTTTAAAAATCATCAATGAGCCACAAAGCCATTGAGCATATTTGCCTCTTACTTAAAAATTCCCTAATAAAATCGAAAAATAGAGATGTCACCTACATCAATTGGTTGCCAATAAAACAAGAGCTGAGAAAACGCATTGTTGCCATTAGCAACCAGGAGACGCGAACATTTGATGGATTGCTGAAGGTCAACTGATCCAGTTCAGCCTGGTAAGTTGGACATCTCTATAGCTACAGTTATGAAATGTTTAATATTTTTTAAAAACCCTAATATTATATTTTTTGGTCATATTACATATTGTATTTTACATTTGTGTAATATAATTTAAGTTAATGTTTCAATCATTCTCCTTTTATTGGTTCATGATTTTTTTCGAAGCGGTGGCAGTGAGATAACTTGTAGCACAGCTTACATTTTAACAGAAAGAAAAAAGTCGCAAGTTCGATTCTAAGTTCGAACAAAGATCGGGTGTGTATAAGCAGCTGGTGTGACTGGATTACGCTTTCTCTGATAATGTCTTAGTTGTTCGTTTTCCACTCTAATGATAATTTTTATAGCAGATTCAGATATAGAAAAAGTTCATGCGCGGTTGAGAAGCATGGTGCGGAGACCATGGGATGATTACCATCAAGTTCTCTACTAACTAAAAACTACATAGTTCAAGCATGTTCCAGTATTATTTTCGGATCATTTAAGATTAAATCCCACCAAAAGCCCCCTGATGTTACGCTAATAATCGAATAACAAATCCTTTGCCTACCTAATTCTTCCGTTGAGCAACCTCAAAAGCATGAAAACAAAATTATAGCGCAATAATTTATAGGGGAGAGAAAGAAATTAAGTTACCTTCTCAGAATTTAAAGCTTATAATAATCATAATAACTATGGATACAAAATGTTAAGTTTAAACAAATCTAGTTTTAAATAAGAAATATTTAATATCCTTTAGCAGTTTTATTTTGCTCAAAACGTGACAAACTGAGATACTTTATTTACTAGATAACGACGTGGCTTTTCATCATTTCTGAAACTAATAATGTATTATTAATTAATGAAATAGGTTTAACTGATATCTAACATTGTCCACTTATGACAATGTTAGATATTACACTTTATCTATTAAAAGTTTTATTTTGCTCAAAACGTGACAAACTGAGATACTTTATTTACTCAATAACGACGTTTTTATATTACTTCTGTTAGCTAATAATGTATTATTAGTTAATGAAAAACTTTTAACTGATATCTAACATTGTCTGTTTTGTTGAGACGCTAAATTAGCTTGTAATATTGGATAATATTTTATTTTACAAAATTTAATGCTGCTGTGTATTTTCTTTTCTTCACCAAAATCATTACAAAGTTTCAAAAATTTTCTACAAATTGCTATTCTAGCAACAATTATGCAAGTTGTTGCTGAAAGATCACGCGAGTATAACTGTAAGAATAAGTTTTCACAATAAGATAATAAAAAGTTTCACATAAATTTCATTATTATAAATTGATTGAAAGATAAATTTAAACAATAAAAAACGACGTAGCTAATAAACAGCGGTTTTTTAATTATATAAGTTTTTTCAAAGTTAAAAAATTGCTTGAAAAGCGTTGATTATATGCTATCAAAGTTTAATGTTTTAAATTCGTAAGAAATCTCGAAAGACCCCTAAAGGAAAATAAGCTGTTCTGCAAAGCTCAGATAAGCTGTTAGCAGCGAGTTTCTCTATGAAATGTATAAAAAATGCACATAAGCTCAAATTTCTATTTGTACCTTCTGTAGGTGATTAAAATAAATTATTTAGGTGTGTATCCTTGTATTTATAGTATTCGAAAGGCTTAGATTAAAAAAGGCCAAGTTCGAAAAAAAAAAGAAAAAATTGGAAATAGGAGAACAAACTTCTGATTTCGAGTTTCACATAATTCTTTTTACTCGTTTATTAAAAATGTATAAACGAGAAAAAGAAATAATATAAAAGAATGTTTCTATCAGTTTCTTTTGTTCAAACCTGGCCTAGTCCATTATTTTTTACATTTGATTTTTTACACTCAGGAAAAAAATTTGGTAAAATTATCGTACTGTATGGTGATGACATTTTTGCTAAAAAAAACATAATTCCGGTTAATAAAAACAAGATGTATGGTTTTTAAGTCATTCATTAATTTTTCCGTTCGTAAGATAGCGGATTATCGAAAATTCTGGTTTTCAAAATTATTGTTTTGATTACCACACATTTAGTAAAAATACAAAATTTTATCGAATAAATGGTTCTCATGTCATGCTGTAAAGTGTTATGATTTTGCCTAAGCTATTACCAAAGCGCCTCGGCAAAAATTATCAAGCTCTCTGGTTTTCCCATAGAGCCAGAAACAAGGTAAATTTTACCATATTCTGTTTTGACCATACTTTTTTTCTCTGGTAATGATCATTTTAAGTTTGAAAAAAACCCTTCTAAACAAAACATCGAAAGTAACAAAAAGACATTTGCTTCAAAATGGCCAAATCCATTTTTTAACATTGTTTCAATGCTCATTCTAAATTTGCCAAAACTTTGCATACAAAACTTCGAAAGTAACATAGTAAGCAAATTCGATACAAAACTGGCAAAATCCATTGTTTTAACGATGAAAGTCGGCAAAAACTTTCTAACAAAACACAATTTCAAGTACAGATTGTCTCATAATTATCTTTCTTCAGCATACAGAGGCCCATAAAATAAATAAGATACCTAAGTTCATTGCATGTTTCAACAGCAAATGAAATTTTTCAATTAACATTTGCATTTTGACAGTATTTTATTTGATTTGCTCGTTTGATAAATTGAAATGATAGACCATTTCTATCCTGGAACTAAGACAAAGAATTTTCTCAAAATCATCCGAAGCTCTGGCAACAATCAGACAAGTTTGTTCACAAAAATTTGTGAAACGTTTATGCTCATAAGAAAACAGCATTTAAAACAATATTATTGTTTGTATTATACTTCAGCTAAAGTTTTACTTATAACCTAGATGCATGCTAGCTAAAGAACATGTATATTTTAGGTGTCACTGGCTTTAAAGATAATTTTGAGTCACTCTGTAGTTTAGCAATATGAAGGAAAATGAACTTATATTTCAATCGAAGCCCTCCATTTTTTTAAAAAAAAAGATTAATTGTGGCATCGTTTTCTGCAAATCCAAATATTAAATATGTTCACGTATTTCGAAAGTAAAAGAAATGATTCTGTCAATGGATAATTATGTCAGTACATTTAGATACATTTTGTGAACCCACACTTCCTTTTTAAGTAAAATAAATAATTGTCATAATTTATAATTATATCAATACATTTAGATAATTATGTCAATACATTTTGTATATCTACACTTTCTTTTTAAGTAAAACAAATAATTGTGTCAATGGATAATTATGTCAATACATTTTGTAAATCTACACTTTTTTTTAAGTAAAATAAATAATTGTGTCGATGGATAATTATGTCAATGGATAATTATGTCAATACATTTTGTGAATCCACATTTAAACAAGTTTATATAAAGGGAGCTATATAAATGCAAATATTGTGAACTCTTCTGATAAAAAATTGAGACGCTATTCTAATGCTTATCAGCTTTATGCTTTGTAATTCACTAAAATAGCTGAAATCTAACAATTCAAAGATTTTATTGTTTTTTTTCTTCCTAAATTGATAGTAGTTTTTTTTAGCAAAACAATTACTTATAGTTACAGTTAACAATTACAGTTTTACCACTTTGGCGAATTTAGACTTCTAAGTAAACACTTCTCTGAGATTCTTAATCAGTAACTCTTAACATGATTGGCACAGAGTGATGGTAATATGACATGAAAAGTTTTTAAACGCAATAAAACTAGCAGCTAAAAGAAATACTCCATTTTGCTTTAAAAAAAAGGAAGGAATAGAATGAAATGATAAAATAAAATAGAAATATATAATCACAAATATGTAGTTTACAAAGGGTGGTTAATTGGTTTAAATATTTAGATTATGACTAGCAAAAAAAGAAATATTTCACTATATTTGAATTTTTTTTATGCAAACATGATGTATGTAAAATTCACAGTCTTTATGGAAAATGTTCTTTTCAGGAAATCTTGCTGTTTTGTGAAAACATCTGATCACTAAAATTAGAATAACAGCAAACCTGAAAAAAAAGGAAAGTTTTTTATTTTTAAAAAAATGATTAATATACAAATTTAAGTCCTTATAAACAGGTTGTTCAGTAAAGACCACCCTTAATGTGTGTTTTTAGAGTCCTTATCAAAAAAATATTTTTATTTGGGATCACATATTAAAACTTTAGAAAAGGAAAAAATAAAAATGCTTTCAAAATCTGAATAATAATAGTATAGGAGGGTGGAAGTAGTAAGCACAGAAACAGGTTTCGTTGTGAAAAGTTAAAAGATGATTAATAAAAGCATCACAAAGTTTCAACCTCCAATTAAACCTATTTTTGATTTTTATTCCATTAGTTTTCCTCTACCGTAATTGATCAGAATTTGATAACGTTTTTGTTTTTTTTCTCGCTAATTTGCGATTTCCAATGTTAATATTCTTTTAATTTATGTATTCCTATTTGATAAGAACTCCTAAAATACACATTAAGGGCCGACTTTACGGAATACCCTGTATAAAGTTTAGATATAGAGAATGTTTTTTAATTTTGCCAAAATTGAACTATGCTTTTAATTTATTATAAATATCTAAAACACACTAATAAAACTAATTTTAAACAAAATTCACTATTCGATCAAATGACACCTTTTAATTTGTAAGTTCTATACACTATAAAATGCCATGCTTTTAAGTATAGTAACTGTATATAATTCTTTTTTTTAAGTAACTAAGCCTGAAACTATAATAAGGGGATACTTAAAAATCAAACCAAATATCTGTATACAATTAAAAATTTATAAACGTTTAAAAAATAGAAAAATAAAATACAAAATCTTTTACTGTTATTCAGTTCACAAAATTCAATTACAAGTGGCAGTTGAAACCAGAGATTTATAAATTTTTAAACGTTTAAAAGAGACGAGAAAAATAAAATACAAAATTCTTCAACTGAAATACAAAAATTCATAAAACTCATTGATAACTGGTAGTAGGAACTAAATATCTGAAGACATTTACAAACTTTTAAACGTTTAAAAAAAGAGAAAAATAAATGACGAAATTCTTCAACTGAATACGGAAATTCAAAAAATTCATTTATAAATGGTAATTGGGACCAAATACTAATTAGACATTCACAAACTTCGAAACGTTTTAAAAAAAAGCATAAAATAAAATACGAATTTCTTCAGCTGAAATATGAAAATTCACAAAATTCATTGATAAATGGTAGTAGGAACCAAATACCTATAGACATTTAAGATTCTTAAACGTGTAAAAATGAAGAGAAAAATAAAACACAAAATTCTTCAACTTAAATACGAACATTAATAAAATTCATTTAATTAAATAATAAATAAAGGGTAATTGGAACCAAATATCTATATACATTGACAGATTTTTTGAACGTTTAAAAAAGAGAAAAATAAAATACGAAATTCTTCATCTGAAGTACTAAAATTCATTCAAAAATGGTACTTGTAACCCTAAGACAGTCAAAAACTTAACTTTATATGTAACTTAACTTAACTTAAACTTTAAATGTGTCTATTAATTAGACATTTACAAATTTCTAAATGTTTAAAAAATAAGAGGAAAATAAAACACGAAATTCTTCCACAAAATAACGAAAATTCTCCAAAATTCACTTATAAATGGCAATTGGATCCAAATCTACTAGAAGAAAACATTAAAAAAAAATTTAAATGTTTAAAAAAGAACAAGAAAATAAAATACGAAATCCTTCAATTGAAATACAAAACATTAAATTAATTTATAAATAATAATTAGAACTAAATACCTATAAACATTTACACATTTCTAAATGTTTTAAAATTCAGAGATTCACACAATAAATTATACAAATTCACATAAAATGATTTGATTTTAAAACATTTAATAAAAATCCACAAAAATATAGCATGAAAAGTGAATATCTAGTTCAATTTATTTTCAATCAATCTATATATTTTTATACAATGATTATCACTTAACTCTTATAATGCAATTACTGTTACCTTTATATAAAGAAAACTTTATATAAAGAAGACACAAGAAACCTTCGATTAACATTAAGCACAGCTAAATATGCTTTAAGTTACTTTTTTTTCAAACTAAAGTGTAGGTTAATTCCAGCTCATCTTGTTTTTATATTACGGGGTTTTGTGGTCCATAGGTCAAAGTCTAATTTTAAACATTGTTTTTTTCAGTGAAAAGGAAAGATAAGTTATATGATTCCTGGGTGTTATTTCGTCAACTTTTAGTTACATTTAAATTTTTTCTACCCCGAAATAATTATAAATTAACATATAAAAATGATGGCGAAAATGGCAGTGCACACCGAGTAGTGATGGACGGGTGTTGCTCAATCTCCATACTGTCTACTCTGAAACAGACGAGACTAAAAAAATTAACGATTATATATATATGAATTGGTTTTAATACTTGTAAAAAAACATGACAGTTGGGTTCACCTATTAAAATAGAAAACAATTATGATTGCCTCCTAAACATGTAAATGGTTATATTCACAAACAAAGGACGCGCTAAATTCTTTAAAATTCATTAAACTGTTTTTTTTTAAAAATTTAACAGTATGTGTATAACGTATTTGCACGTAGACTGTTTTTTTAATTATTAAAAAACAATGGTCATTGTTTATTCTTCAATCAATAAAAATCCATAAACGTAACAAAACATGTAACATGCAACGGAAATACTTTAGAAATTTACAAATGCATATATTTAATAAAAAAGCAAATTGAATAAAATTAAAAACGATACCGAGTCTGCTATAATACAAATTACCTTTGAGAAAGCGCTATTTAAAATTTGGGAACGAAATTCATACGTGTGCCACAATTAAATAGTTTTCGACGAATTTAAGCTTTTAGGAAAATAATGTATGCGCTAATTTGGCGTTAAATCCATCAATACGTTTATGTGGAACACGAGCTATTAATATAACAAATGATCAAATTGCATAGAAATATCCTTAAAAAATAATTCAACACATAATTAACAAACGTTCACAAATGTTTTTGTTTTAGAATGAAATATCTTTTTTCCTTACTTTGATATTTCACTGGAGATATTTGTATACTTTTAGGCAATGATTTCCAGAATCAGCTACTACAACATATCCTTCTGCAAAGAGGGCTAAACCTTGTGGTCCATATAAAGGTTCTCCATTTGTGTTCACAAAAGAAAGAAATGAACCGTTGCAGTCAAATACCTGCAATACACAAAAATTGTCATCAGAAGATAACATTTAACCTTTAACCTTTTGGTTACGGATGGTACAACATGTGGACCACATGTGATGATACAATATGGTATACCGTAAGCAAAGGGCTAACTAAGGTTAATTTTCAAGTTCTGCTGATTTTATGACATAATTGTTGGTTTAAAGTTTCTATTTATTTTTTTATGAAATTAAAATAGTTCATTTATTTAAGTTTTACTAATGTTGCGAAATTAAATCTAATAATTTTATTTTATATTTATTTTGTGAAATTAAAATTATTAATTTTCAAGTTCTGTTGATTTTTACGACATTAAAATTGGTGGTTTCAAGTTCTTATTAATGTAATAAAAATAAAATACATGAAAAAATTTGAAGTTTTATTAATTTTGTGAAATTAAATTTAGTAATTTAATTTGTTTATTAATTTCATGAAATTAAAAATGTTTATTTTAGAGTTTTACTAATTTTGCATTACTAAATTTAATAACTTCATATTATGTTAGTTTTATGAAATTGAAATTGTTAATGACATTAAAATTGGTGGTCTCAAGTTTCTATTAATGTAATAAAATTAAAATATATAAAACCTTCATAGATCCTACTGAAGTTTTATTGATTTTACGAAAGTAAAATAGCCTGTTTTAAAGTTTTATAAATTTTATGAAAATAAAATAGCTTGTTTTGAAGTTTTATTAATTTTGTGAAATTAAATTTAATAATTTAGTTTTTTATTAATTTTATGAAATTAAAAAAAATTATTTTAATGTTTTATTAATTTTGCATAATTAAATTTAATAACTTTACATTGTATTAGATTTATTAAATTAAAATTGTTAATTTTCAAATTCTGTAATTTTATGACATTAAAATTGTGGTTTGAAGTGTTTATTTATTTTAGGAAATTAAAATCGATAAAACCTCTATAGATCCTCATGAAGTTTTAGCATTTTTAAGCAGCTCATTAATATTAATATTAAATTAAAATAGCTCATTTTAAAGATTTATTAATTTTGAGAAATTAAATTTAATAATTTTAAATTGCATTAATCTTATGAAATCAAAATTGTCAATTTTAAAATTCTTTTAAGTTAACATTAAAAATGTTAATGTCTAAATTTTTTTAAATTTAATGGAATTAAAATAGTTAATTATAAAATTAAATATATAATGATATAAAATGAATAGTTAATTATGAAATGAATAGTTAATTATAAAATACTAATTATAAGCGAAGAAATCTTTTAAACAAAATGTCAATATTATTATTCCATTTTGATCCAATTTTAACGAATAGTTTTGCATTCGACCCTCTTTATAGTTCAATAATGAAAATTAGTTCAGATTTTGGAAGCATTAAATTTAATTATAACTATTAACTTCCACTTTTATTTAAAAGTATTTAATATAAAAACAAAATTTAAATTTTTACATAAAAAAATATTTTTTTTCAGAGATCATAAATGAAAAAAAAAATAATAATTCAGAAACAAATAAAAAAAAGAATATGAAAACAATCTAAAATAATTTGCAAATAAATAAATGTCAGTATCATAATAGATAAAGATTCGTGCCCAACACCATTTGGATCAACTGCTGCTCTAAATATTATCCAACTAAAGAGTTTTTATCAATGTTTTCCCTTCAGCTGAATTTATTACAGGCCGCTTTTTTAGATTCACTTCATTTGCTTCGATCCAGGCAGAAAGGTTTTTCTTGGAGAGCAGCCCAATTCTTGCAAAGACAATAAAAATTGGTTTCCGACTACAGATTATTTTGAAAGAAAACATCTTCCTTTATGGACCTATGCGTAAATTGTGTCGGGGTACATAGAAAATACTCGGAGAAATTTGGGAAGAGGGACCGAACAAAAATTTATTAATCTTTTGCCATATGATTTACAACTAGCGTAAGGTGACCAGATTTCTAAACCGTGATTTGAGGACAAAACAGCGAAACGTTCTCGAAAAATTTTGTGATTCTAGGACACCTATATATTTATGAAAAATATTAGTTTATAAGAGCGAAAAAGATTTCTATTAATTTTTTTTTTTTTAACTAGTATCAGGTGCGGAATCTTCATTAAGTTTAATTTTATGACTAAGCAGTAATGACAAATCATATTATAGTCTGCATTTGTTTACCACATGTAAAATGAATTAGTTAAAGTTGTTAATTTTCAAATTCTGTTAATTTTATGACATTAAAATTATGGTTTGAAGTGATTATTTATTTTAGGAAATTAAAATCGATAAAACCTCTATAGATCCTCATGAAGTTTTAGTATTTTAGATCCTCATGATTAGAGTTTTCATTAGCTAGTTTTAGCATGGTAAATTTTTGCTTTTCGCTTGAATTCTGTACAAGATAATAAAATATCTGTATAAGATAAGTCTTTGTTTTATGATGAATCTTGTTAGAATTATGTATGCGCATTTCCGATTTTTTTGATATTTCACGGCATGTAATAAAATATGAAATGCTTTTATAGAAATTTGAGCGCATTTTAGGACATATCGCTGGTTCAAAACTAAAACGACACTTCTGCACTCACTTCTCATTCAAATAACATCACAAGTGAGTGCAGAAGTGTCGTTTTAGTTTTGAACCAGCGATATGTTAAGATTTTGAGACCTTCAAATAGATTGAAAGGTTTTTAGTACAGCTATTGAAATTCGAGAACTGTTCTCAAGATTTGAGGACGTCAGGTCACCTCATACTAGTGATAAGTGACTTGCACTACTAAGCAGTACAGAATCCGTTATCCGGAAATCAGAAAACCGGAAAACCAAAAAACCGGAACGAAATTCAATAAATTTTCCCGCCATTTTTAAAAAAAAATTTTTTTTTCCTTATAAGATTTTAGGATTTTTCTTTCTTTTTTGAAAGATGTTCACCTTACCATCATTTTGGAAATAATCATTAGTGTATTACTTCATCGTTTTTTCTTCTTTTTAAGATTATTTCCCCCAAAATTTTTTTTTTTAGTTGGGTTTAACAATAAAAAAACGGCTTTTTGTAGCGATTCAGAAAACCGGAAAAATCAGTTATCCGGAATAGGGATGGTCCTGATCGTTCCGGATAATCGGTTCCCTACTGTACATGAAAATAGCTCTTTTTGTTTAAAAAGGATGAATTATTATTTGTTCTTCTGTGTATATGTAAAAGAGTTAGAACAAAAGTCAATAAATTGAAAGAAAAAAAGATTTTTTGATTTTAGTTTTAATCCTTTATTAAGTACAGTAAAAATAAGGTTTAAACTAACAATATAATAGATAAATAAACAAACATAAACTTTCAAGAAGAGAAAAAACTCTAAGTAGCCTCCTCTTAGTAAGTTTCATAACCGTCAGTGAACAGCCGACCCAATTTTTTGGGTTTACGACTACTAATGTTCAACTCCGTAGCCTTGTAATTTTAAACCCAATCCGGAATACAAGGGAACTCTTGGATCGAGTATTAGAAGAAATTTGCCTTCTTGGAGGACTTTTTTTATGGAACTAACCCGCATTTGCGTTACATGGAGAGGAAGACCTCGAGAACCACCCACGGTTAGCCTGACGGCAAGGGTACTCTAACCCATGATCTGTCTACCACTGAGGATATTTTACGTCAGCACTGTGGTCGTTGCAACCTGGATGCGGAATTTGCATCTACTGGGATTCGAACCCGGTTTTCCTCATTGGGAGGCGAACGCTCTATCTCCTGAGCCATCGTGGCTCCCTATTAGTAAGATTTTTTTTATTTTATAACCGTCGTTGAACAGCCGACCCAATTTTTGGGTTTACGACAACTAATGTTCAACTCCGTAGCCTTGCAATTTTGAGCCAATCCAGAAGCTATGGAAACTCCAGGATCAGTACACCCAGAGGTATGATTTGTTATGGGAACATGGAGGACTTCGTGACTCGACATATTTAACTTGCATCAGTCACTATTTACTACATGGAAAGTCTTCGGCAGGCAAGGATCGAGCCCACGACCTCTTGGACATGGATCTGGATCCAGTGCCCTACCAACCAGGCTATCCCGGCCTGGTTGGCAGGTTAAGTTGTAAAAGTTATGACCTCATACGTCGGGTTTTGGAGGAAGAATCAAACGGGAGAAATTTAAATATTCTTTTTAGACAAATGATGCGCTGTTTCCAATTTAGTTTTTTATGATGAATCGAATACGACTAAACACGGGAGGATTAGACAAGAAATTTTCTAAGTTACGAGCGTTTTATGTTGAAAAAGAACATTTGCTGAAACCACAGTAATGGAGAGGAGAATAATGCAGAGAAACTAATGACTAAAGACGGCTATTCTACTAAAAAAACTATGACTAAAGCATGCATATACACCTTATGTTTACCAACAAAAGAATGAATCAATAAATAAAATATAGTATGTCTTGCCTGTATTCGACTGTTGCCCCAGTCTGCTACAATGATGTTATCTTGACCATCAACAGCCACACCAGTAGGAGCGTTGAATTGACCGATGCCTTCACCATTCGACCCAAACGAATAAAGAAAGTTGCCTTCCTCATCAAACACTTTGATGCTGTGATTGTGAAAATCAGAAACAACAAGATGGTTTTTACTATTGATGGCTACGTAGTGAGGCCCAGCAAACTTCGAATTGTTACTTCCGCGAGCACCAAACCTTTTGGAAGAATAAGGGGGAATAACTTTTAATTAATAAAACTGAATTGACATACATCATTGAAAAATATGAAAGATATTTAGAGCAGTTTGTATAAGAAAATGCAGAAAGAAGTTTTTTAAGGGTTTCATTTTTATTCACCAAGTGACCCAAAAATGATTAACAACATGAAAAATCAATTAAAGATAAGCGGCAGGAGAGGAAAATATTGTTTGCTGCCTTCTGCTTAGGAAACTAGAATCTATTGCTAAGTTTCGATTTCCAACTTCATCTACAGACGGCTCTGTTAATTGCGAAACAGCATAAAACAAAATTTTCAAAACAGCCCTCATTTGCAGCAATATCGCGGCGTAATGCAGATACATATAACAGGGGTCTGTTTAGAAGAAATTTGGGTCCGTTAACGGACCCTTCACAAAATATCTTTTCATAAAAACGAATCCTTCACAAAATAATTTATCTTTTAATCGGACCCTTCACAATTTTGTTTATCTTCATTATGGTTTTGTTAATTGAATAAACCCTTCCCAGGAAGTGGGGGTGGAGAAAGATGGATGTAAACGAACTAAATTTTGTCTTCGACAGAAGCTTCTTCTTTATTCGTCCAAAATGAATATTCTGCGTTCAGCTGTATAGGCTAAATACCAAATATTCGCATGTTGCATCACTAATTTAGTAGCTGCATTTGATGTTTACTTTTTAAAATGTAATTTTTTTTAATTATAATTTTACAGTGCTGAGCATAATCTTGTATATCTTCAAAATTTAAAAACTCCTTGAGAATTTTTTTCAGCAATTACGGACCCTATTTGCGCAATTTCACAAAAGCGGACCCTGGTTGAAAGAATGTGACTTAACGTCTATTTTATATTCACAAATTACGAGTAATTTTTTCACAATTTTACAAAAACGGACCTTTCACAAAATGTCTGGACAGACCACTGTATAACTATGCAAATAGCTTAGTTGGAATGGTCTGACAAGCAGTTTAAAAATTGTATTGTAGATTTTAGTCAGAATCATTATTTGTTGACAAGCTATGCAAATAATTTGTAAAACCGGTGAGAATAGATAGATAGTTTCCTACATTGAAAGCTGCAAGCCATTCATTTCTATCTCCTTTTTTTAAAAACTAATTCTTCAAATCGTCAGTCATTTTTGTGACAGTCGGTAATTAAAGTAACCCCCTATATTAGATGAAATCATTCCTTGCAGAAATTAACATATAAATTCCAGAAATGTGATATTTTTTAATTTAAAAAAATATTATTTTGATTTTTTTTATAGTTACATTACCTATGGAGTAGTTTGCCATTTTCTTGGAAAATAAGTACGCAATTTCCTTTGTTATCTGCCACAATTATGTGTCCATTTCTGTCCACAACAACTCCTTTTGGACCAAGCATTTTCCCATAACCAATTCGGTTCAAGAACTTTCCTTTGCAGTCATATATAAAAATAGCCTTATTTTCATAATCGGCCACAACATAGTTGCCAGTTGTACTGACCGCAACACCCGTTGGCCTTTGAAGCTGCCCAGGTCCTCTTCCTCTCACACCAAACTTCATCTTAAACTCTCCCAACGTAGAGAACACCTGAACCACCTGATTGTTACTGTCCGCCACAACAATCTTTCCCTCATGTGTGCAGCACACTCCTTGTGGATTCGCAAATTCACCTTTATTTTTGCCCTTCTTGCCAACTCTGAGGACGAGGTCGAATTCATCCTCGATTGGGATACTCCAACGATTCGAACTACTGGATCGGTAACTGGAAGGCCTTCGATTGCCTCGTTGCCGAACACCAGTCGTCCGGGGTATCTTGGAGTTGGCCGGACGGTCACTGGAAGAGCTTTCTTCCTCAGGAAATGCTTTTACAGTGAACGGACTTCCTTTGATGGGAAAGCCAAAAAGCTTGATGGACAAAGTGTAAAGTCCTTCTTTCGGCACAGTGTAAAGTAAATCGTAGCTGCCGTTTTTCTGGTCAGACATTTCCGGTTTGATTGTCCAAGGGGCGATGTAGTTGCTGGAAGTGATCTCTACTTTGAAATCGACTGCATCGGAAGCTACAATCTCGCCTTTGAGGTCTTTGGTTATCAGGTTGACCAGAGTCGGTTTTCCAACAGTGCTCTGCTTAAGGCCTTCTCCCGTTGCGGTGGTTTCCAGGGCAACAGCGTGAGAAGTTCTAATGGCACCACACATTTGAATACTTTCTCTGGCCATGCTTGAAGTGTTGTCTTCAAAATCTAGATAGTCGTTTTCTTCTGGCATGCTTTTGACTTGCATCACAGAATACTCTCGAAGTCTATCAGATACCTATCAATAAAAATATTTTTTTTTAAAATTTTAAATCACATTTCTAAAACAAAAACATAATTAAATTGAAATTTTAATCACGGAACTACATTTTTCTTAATAAACGGTTAAATAATAAATTTGGTGGCGTCTTTAAACACCATACGAAAAATTGAACAAAATTATTTCCGTCGCGTTGTCCCGATTTTTTTGCGCATTGATTTTTGTTCCAATTTGTCAAACTTGCATTTATAAGTAAAAAAAGAACGTTCGTTTCGTACGTTTTATTTGTGATATCATATGATTCTGCACTTCACAATAATCTTTCAAAATTTATATGCTATATGCTTTTTTACATACATTGAACTGGTTTAAAATATAATGGAAATTTCATTCATGGTTAAAAATATTCTATCGTTGCAGGAAGTGTAATGAATTAATAATTTCCATATGTTTAACTATAACAAAATTTCCTTTAAAATTTGTTACCTGAACTAAAGAAAGTCAAGAATCAAGTTTTTTTTTTTAAATTTAAGAAAATACCTAACAAGAGTTAGGCTACTCGTTAGAGGCCACTGGATTGGAAAATCACGTTCCGGTTTTAACAGAAAATTATAAATTGTTTGTTTGTACCTTAAAACTGTTGCTCGAAGCTCTTAGATCAAGGAGAATAATAATAATAAAAAATCTTTAATTTGTGCGTACCTTAAACTTTAAGTAAAGTTCCGATTTTTTTATGTATACTATCGTGCTCAAAAATTGAGTAGCGAAAAAAACTTTTTTTTTTTTTAAATACTAGAATGTATCACACCTTGTTCGCTCCGCTCGCCAACACCCGTTGTTACTTCCCAATCAGCATTGAAGATCAAGGGAAAGAACGGTTTGCATTTCATTTTTACAAAAATTACGATTGAATTCCCATGCGTTGCGTTTTGAGAATGACTCAACTTTGGCAAATTAATGACATGGAAAATCGGTTCCCCCCGAGAGTTCTTACATAGTTAAGATGGGCCGTGCTGTGGAAAAAAGGTCCTGCCCATAAGCAAATTCGTTTTTACTCAAATTCAGCTTTCATGGACATTAATCGTTCATCCCCCCTTGATCTTCCTAAAGTTTTCTTTTTTAAAAGTCAATAAAATAAAGATCATTTTGTTTATAAAATATATAATTATTCTAATTTCATGCAAGCAAATTTTATTAATGTTAATGGTAAAGAAATGAAAGGATAGCTGGATTTGAAAAATAATCAACTCTACTTGAAAAAAATTTAAACTTAATAGAACAAGTGACACAGTAAGAAGTAATTTTATTTGTTAACAATCTGTAAAAAATAACCTTATATTGCGTAAATCATAGCTTAATCCCTAGCGACCCCCGTAAGAGGTATTCGTGGAACATTATATTGTATAACAGTAAGCATTAGAAACAGTTCTACTCTCTCTCTTTACGTTTTTAAAAATGTCTACATAAATGTTAATATTTATTTCTGGCAACATCTAATCCCTCTCTTATTTTTTATTAATTCCTTCTTTTGTTGTTATTTTTGACATAAAGTCAAGAGCGAGCTTATAAAATGGAAATAACCAAAGAGATAAATTTTTCTACTACAATTTATGAATATTTAATGAAAAAAAAAAAGAACAAAACCACTTAAAATTGTAATATCTTTCGAATAAAGAGGAATTTCGGAAAAAAAAATTTAATAAATAAATAAACAATACAAACGATATAACAAACGCAAACGATATAATTCACGAGCTAATAATTGTTATTTTTTTATTCTATCTAACTCCTTGTATATTTTTCTACCCAGTTTCTTAGTTTCAAGTTACTAAGTTTTATAGATTTTGAGCAGTCAAACAAAATGTAACGGAGATTAAAAATAAAAAAAAAAAAAGTGAGAAAAACCGCAAAAGATCCGCAGACCTTAAAATAGCAGTAATTTTCGAAGAAATGGAAATTTTGAATAAAAAAAATCTGTAAGTCAAGTTCATGAACAAATATAGTCCTTTCGGCATGGCAAAAATTTCAATTCTGCGGTTGCATTCTGATGCCTTCTATGTGGAATGTATGGTATTTTTTCCAACAAGTTTATCAGTTAATTATTCTAAAATTAATGATCGAATGTTCTTTTTTTTTATTCTATTGTAACCCCTGTACACCTTCCTACCCTCATTAGTAATTTCAAGCTTACAGTTTTAACGCAGCAAAACAAAATGTAACGTTAAGTTGGACACCCATAACAGCGACATCAGCGTCACCTTTACCTTTTTTTAATATAGAAAGAAAAATTGTCGATTTGCAGATGTGTATCACTACGAAAAATATAAAATCAACCGTATTTTTCAATTTTTGTACATTTTAATGAGTAAAAACAATACGACTACAGAATAAGTTTTCAAATCTTTAAAAGTTTAAGAGAAACGTTTCCTATATTGGAAAAAAATGTGTATCGATTTTCTTTAAACTAGAATTTTGCATGATTTTTATTATCAACCAAGTACATTAATTATCAGAGATGGACAAAATTTAAAGAAACAGTTAGAATAACTATTACTAATTCGTGATAATTATAATCAATAGATGTCAACCCAACGCGGAAGTCCTAGCTATAAGCTATATTTAATATGGTAGAAAAACATCAATTAAGCTTAATTTGTTTAATTTTCCAGCTCTTTAAAACTTTACTGAAAAATTATCAGGTCGTATATATTTATTTAAATTGTTTATACTCAGTGGTGGTAGAAATCATTGTAAAACAAAATTATTAAACCAAAAATAAAATAGTAAAGCATAAAATTTACAATTACAATAAATGCTTGAGGAAAATCTAGCAAAAGCAGGAAAAGGTAGCTAGTATGCAAGAGAGTTGGGTACTGATTTCGCTGATTCGAATCATCAACTTGTAACTGATTCGAATCACTTGATTTTTTTCGGAACAGTTAAAAGTGATAATGAATTACTGTTTCTTAAATTTCAGTTACTTTGTTTCACAGTGAATATCCTGTATGTCCTATAGAGTTAAAAATGTATTGTAAAACTTTAGTAAATCTTACGCATTCATTACTAAGTGAAACAACAACTCCTGCAACAGCAGGAGTTGTTGTTTAAAAATAAACTGCTAGGTAAGTGAAGTAAGTAGAATCTAAGCTGAATAGTGTTGTGAATAATTTTATTCGAATCACGTGATTCTGATTGATTCATTAAGTCATGCTATTCAAATCAGTGATCCGAATTACACGACTCGAATTGGGATCTGAATCACTTGAGTCGAATCACTGATCTGAATCACTTGATTTTAATCACTAATCTGGATCACTTTGTCCTGATTCGAATCACTTTGATGATTCGTTTTGCTCAACTCCAGTATGTAATAATATCATTGCAAAATGACGTCAAATTACACGACAGAAAACAGTCTTAAGTTAGGCTTAATAGTATTATTGAAGTTTTATGATCACGAGATTCTGATCGATTCGTTAAGTCATGTTCAAATCAGTGATCCGAATTACACGATTCGAATTTGGGATCTGAATAACTTGAATCGAATCACTAACTTGAATCACTTGATTCATATCACTGATCTGAATCGCCTAGTTCTGATTCGATTCAACGAACTGATTCTATTGATTCGAATCACTCTGATGATTCGTCTTACCCAACTCTAATACGTAATAATAACATGCTACTTGCAAAATGGCGTCAAATTACACGACAGTAAACATTCTTAAGTTAGGCTTAAAAGCATTACTGAAGTTTCATGCCAAGCATAAAAATGATTACTTGTTTATTGACTAAAAGGAACTCGGCATCATTCTCGTGTTCAAGGGCTTTTTTGGTGAACTCGCAGCTTGAACTCAGAGTTTCCAAGCAATACTGCAACAGGCTTTTTTGGTTGTCTAGTACGAGGCGTTTGGCATTGTAGGTATCCTCGAGCTGGCCAAGCATTTCGCTCCGTCTCATGTGGACACTTTCGAGGAGTAAGTTGAAGCACATATCGATTTCGTTGGCAGCTGACTGATGTGCGTCATCCAGTGATGTGATAATGCTTGTGACTAGATCGATAGCTTTCTCAACAACGGGGATCTAGATAGAAACAGAATTCAAATCAGAATAATTAGTTTGAAGAGATTACCATATTACGCAAATCAACAGTAAGAGGGACTAATGTCATAGATCAATAGAAAAATCTTATAATTTTTGGTTATTATGTCAAAGACAGTATGTACTGTATTAAATACTTGATAACTCTTTCAACACGGCACAGGATTCATTATATTGGGAGTACAAATTAGTTCGGTCCGTTTTCAAAAGATGGCTTTGGCTGTTATGAATGTTTCATAGTGACAGCTAGTTTTGGTGGTTTCAGAGAGGTTAGATATCTGTCAATAATATTAAGTTTATATCGCATTGAGTTTCATACAAAAACCCTGTTTTTTAATTTGTTGAATATGTCAAATTTTGTGTTGACTAAGCAGCATTTGCGGGAGGTTTTATATTTCTGCTTTAATTTTAAAAAAAGTGCAGCTGAAGAGCATCGAATGCTTGTAGATGTTTATGGTGACAATGCTCCAACTGATAAATCATGTAGGGATTCAACGTTTCAAGAACGGTGAATTAAGAATGGTTAATGGTGAATGTAGAATGGCTAATGGTGAATGTAGAATGGTGTTGCATACAACCTGGCGGTTTCATTAAGGGCGATCGGTATAGGCTACAATTGATTTGTTTGAGCCGTGCATTATGAGAAAAACGGCAGGAATACGAGCAAAGACATGACAAAGTTAATCTTATGCATGATAATGGTCGGCCTCATGTCGCAAAAGTCGTAAAAAATATTTGAAAACGCTCAAGTGGGATATTTTACCGCATTCACCGTATTCGGCGGACATTGATCCTTTTGATTACTGGTTGTTCCGACGGATGCAGCATGATTTTTCAGATCACCGGCTTACTTCTTTCGCAGAAATCGAAAATTGACTCCTAACTTGGATATCCCTAAAAGACGAGACATTTTTTCGAGATGGAATTCGAAAATTGCCTGAGAGGTGAGAAAAATTAGTAGCCAGTGATGGACAATACTTTGATCAATCTGTTAATTCATTTTGTTCTGAAATAAATGCATTTTTGATCACAAAAAAATGGACCGAACTAATTTGTACCCCCAATATTTACTAAAAAAAAGTATGCATGAATGCCGAAATTGCCATACTTTCGCTTATTACATTGCCACCAGAAACAATTTTAATATACACGAGTAAGAACCTTAGACATAATGCTATACATAAACGAATAATAGACTTTCGATGAGAGAAACACTTTATATTGAATGCTCACTTTTTCTTCGACGTTGTCCAGCAAGTTGCTCAGCATTTCCTTCTGGTCATTTACAGCTTCTCGCAGTCTGATGGTAAGGTGGCCCTTGTGCTCTATGTCTGTGCAGGTAACGCAGATTGCTGTCTCGCATTCTCGGCAGTAGAAGCGCAGTGTCTGAGAATCATGCTTCGGACACATCAGAGAGCCTTGCTTCTCTTGAAGGGCTATCTCGCTCAAAGATAAAAGCTTGTGGTTTCTGGTGGCGTCTTCAATCTGATGGCACCTGGAACAGTCTTCGCATAAGAAGCCTTCGCATTCCGCGCACTTGGATGCCGATGGCTGCATCGCACACCTAAAACAAAAATCAGTTTGCACAATTTATTAATTAAATACAGGATGTTACGTAATGACCACACTTAATTATATGTTCTATTCTGTTTATACAACTTAACAATTAAATACAGGGTGTTCCAAAATGGCCACCTTTAATGTAAGTTTTTGGAATTATTGTCATGCACATCGGGGGATATAATTGGAACAACATCCTTAATTAGATGTTCTACTCAGTTTATACAACTTAGAATTAAATACAGGGTGTTCCGAAATGGCCACTTTTAATATAAGTTTTTAGACTTATTGTCATGCACATCGGGGGATATAATTGGGACAACATCCTTAATTATATGTTCTACTCAGTTTATACAACTTAGAATTAAATATAAGATGTTCCGCAACGACCATCCATAATTATATATTGCACTCAATTTACAATTTAACAGTTAAATACAGGATGCTCCGTAATGATCACCTTTAATATATATTTTTGGAATCATTGTCATGCACATCGGGGGAATTAAACGAATATTTCAACAAAAGAGGAATAAAAACTCTATCGAAATTTAAAAACTCAATAGTAAGGAAGAGGAGTGTACAAAGTATCAAAGCCTTGCTGATTGCTGGTTGAAACTTTCGGGTGTTTCCAATAACCCTAATCTAATAACGTCTTTATTTCTGCCAACAATGAGGCAGGTTTTTAGGCCTTGTATACTTATTTTCCTCATTAGTGATTCGTTAAATCCCCCCTTACTCAAATAATAATTTATGATCCCCAATATATGTAATTTTTCAACTCAATTTTTGACAGGAGTTCTAAAAATTCATATTAAAGGTGTTCCTTACTTAAATCCTACTTTGAAATCTTAACTATCAAAAACTAATACAAGATGACATTGTCATTGTACAGTGACAAAAATGTTAAACGTACCACCTTGAAAAACTTTTGATCTAACGATCGGATCTTTACGTTCCAGGACTCAATCTTAAAGGTTCAAGGGTTAGCTTCAAATACGCTATTTAGTTGGTACAGACGAAATTTTAGGTTACGAAATCAGACACAAAAACGTACTTTTTCTGAGTAAATATACCCTTTTTTCGACGAATGTGGATTTCTGACCCCCCAGATATAGTTCCCCCCTCGAAATATAGTCGCAATCTAGGAAATATGATCCCATCAATTTAATCAGGAGAGCGGTCCAAACTTCGAACCCCTTAATATTAATTTTACCTTTTTTCGTACTTCACTATATTTTGAGAACTTTTTTAAGCGAATTGAAAGATTTTTGTACACAATTATAAAATTTATCTAAATATTATTCCAGGCAAAATGTAATTTACAGTAAATATTTATCATTTTATTTAATAATAGTCGAAAAAATTTCGAAACAATTACAATTTTTTAACAATTTAAAAAAAATTTTTTTTTTTACATCATTTTAACGATTGCAATTTTAAATGACAAAATACAAAATTTGAGCAAAAGCAGTCAAATATGTTCTGAGATACCGAATTATAAAAATATAACTATGAAAATTTGATTTCTCAGGAACTATTTGACTGATTTCGCACAAATTTTGTAATTTGCTACTTAAAATTGCATTCCTAAAAATGATGCAAAAGACAGTATAACTTACAATTCAAAATTCCTTCGACTATTATTAGATAAAATGATAAATATTTACTAAAAGTTATATTTTGCAGGGAAATTACTTTTGGAAAGACGAATTTTATAATAGAGTGCAAATATTTTTCAATTCGCTTTAAAAGTGCTTAAGTGCTCGAAAAAAAGGTCATGTTTATTCAAAGAATGTATATTTTTGTGTCTAATTTCGTGATTTAAAATATCGCTTGCGCTAACTAATCAGGATGTTTGAGCTCATCTCCTTGAATCTTTAAGATTCTATCCCAGAACGTGAAGATAACAGTGACATTGTACTAGTTACGTAAATAGATACCTGTGACATTGTACCAGCTACGTAAATAGATACCTGTGACATTGTGCCAGTTACGTAAATCGATACCTGTGACATTGTACCAGTTACGTAAATAGATACCTGTGACATTGCACCAGTTACATAAATAGATACCTGTGACATTGCATCAGTTACGTAAATAGATACCTGTGACATTGTACCAGTTACGTAAATAGATATCTGCGACATTGTACCAGTTACGTAAATAGATACCTACGACATTGTACCAGTTACATAAATAGATACCTGTGACATTTTGATGGATGATCAAGGGTTTCCATGAGATTGCTAATGATGAAGTTGGTCTGTAGGGCGGGTACTCCAGCTCTGGGAACTATGGATTGTTGGCGACAAACGGGACAAGAGAGGGTGAGGCTCTCAGGGGGCATGTACCGAACCAGGCAGCGCTCACAGAATGTGTGTAGGCATGGTAGCACCTAAATTAAAATGAAATATTTGGCTTCATTACTTTTTGTTTGATATGATTGGGAACACATTTTTTTTTTAATTATTTCGAAATATTGGGTTATGAGAAAAATGAAAATTCTTTAATTTTACTGCGTTGTTCAGTTTAGCGAAAACTAGCAGCAAGAGTATTATATATTTTTTTGCAGACTCCTTCTGTAGGTCTGAAAATGAGCAAGAAAACTAACTTGGTTTGAATTAAAGATTAGTATTGAAGTACTTAAATAGCTTACACTGTCAGATATTCGGATTTTCCAATGCAAAGGTAAAATTCCCCCCCAAAAATAAAAATAAATCTACATTTTTTCCTTATCACGAATCGTCCGTCACATAACGCTGGTGAAAATTTTTTTTATTGGATATATACAAATACTTCATCTTGCTTGATACGAAAGTGGGATTTCAAATCTGAAATGAGTTTTGTTCCTAAATCTGTAATTTTTTTAATGACATTTTTAATCTATTTTTTGTCATAATGTATCAGTTTAAAAAAATTAAATATATAACAGAGAGTTGTGCAAATGCTGCGACAAATTTCTCGGGTGTTAGGGCACATCATCAGAATTATAATTGCATGCCCGGAAATGCGGTCGCACGTGGCTAGTGGCGCGTGTCTATTATGTCCTCTGTTCAAAAGCATACACTGAGAAAAAAATATGGACAAAACTATCAGAATATGGTAAAAACTACAGTGTTTTTAGCTCTATGGAAAGACCGAAAAACTCGGTAATTTTTAAAGAAACGCTTTGGTAATAATTTTAGTATAATTAACAATAAAATGTTTTATAATATGCGATAAAGTTTGGTAAATGTGGCAAGATTCGTTAATTTTATAGAGCATGGCATAAAAACCATTTATACGGTCAAATTTAGTATTCAATTTTGTATGTTTTACAAAATGTGTGGTAACAAGAACTATAATTTTGAAAACCAGAATTTCCATTAAACCGTTATTAAATCAGTGTTCTTCATAAGTGTTCTTAGATAAGCTGTCTGTCCGCCGCCTGCCCTTTGATCCCTATAACTGAGCCCTCCTTGCCTTTTTTTGTAAAAACAAAATGAAAAGAAAAAAACACTGCTTTTTTTATTTTATTTTTTCAGGAAGAGATTGTTTTCTTAACCAACTGTTTTAATGAAAAGTCCACATCTGATTTATTATTGATAATTATTTTACTTCAATTTTTAATTTCATCCCTTCTTTTCAGTAAGACTTTTTTTTATGTTGTCTAGTTATAAAGTTAAAATTCGCATGATATTCGGCCTCAGAGATATTCGCATTTTTTATTTAGGGGGTATATTAATGAGCTTTTAGTGATTTTAAACTTTACCTTTATTTTTTAAATAAATATTTATTCAAAGATGTACCTTTAAATGCTTATTTTCTCATAGTTTTCAGTTCAAAATATATTAAAAGCTTTCAATTTTATTAATTGAAAGCTTTTAAGTTTACTTTTTTTAAGAAGAAAATTTGCACGCAGAGATTGTCTTTTAGCTTGCTTTTACTTATTTTGCAAAAGCTTCATATTTTTCTCTAATTTGATAATGAGTGAGAATCACTTTGGTAAATATACATATAAAATAAGGTAAGGAGTTAATTTAAAAAATGAGGATCAAATTCAGTTATTACATAATGTTACACATTTTGATAAATTTTATTGCTGGTGAGTGCTTTTTTAGTGCCATTTTCTGCGAAAAAGCACCCTGCTCTTTTTTATTCCTAGGGAGAATTCTGATTATATGAAACGAAAAAAATTGCCTAATGAATGATATAAATACCTTATATTTTGATTTTATTTTCCAGGATGATGGTTGTTTTTACCGGAAATGTCAGTACCACACAGTACGGTAACTTGAACAGATTTTTTTTCTCAGTCAGCGAGAAAACAGTTCATAATAATAAAAGCGCCCTTAGCAGCGAATGTCATTTTCGGGTATGGGTTCCAAAGCAATTTGAATCCTGATGATAGGCTCTAACTCCTTAAGAAGTTTATCGCCACATTTATGTGACCCCCTGTTATATATGACGTCTTTAAGTTTGTACATTTCGATAAAAAATAGATTAAAAAAGTCATTAAAAAATTAGCTTTGTGAAAGCAACCGATTGCAGACACGAAATCAGTGATACGAAAGTTGCTAAGATCTGTAAAACAATCTCATGCAGCAGAAAATTTTTTTTTCCCCTTTGCAATTCTGCTTTCATAAAAAAATCAATAAATAAACCAGTTAAAAATTTTGGATTATTTTAATTAGAGGGCACACTCTTATAGTATTTATATAAATGCAATAAGAGTGAGTGGAAGCTCTCCTTTAGCGAGTCAATTTCTTGAAAAAGCCAGTTTTTTTTTAATTGTACCCCATTTTATCGAAAGCTAAGCAATTAATTAAGTTTATCAAAAGCCTTTAAAAAAATAATTATGATTTTTTGTAGACGAAAGATGAACAATACGACTTAATTTGTTTAAATCTGGCATATAATAATTTTCCAGATAGTTTCCTTAATGGCAATTTTATTAAAAAACCACATTTCACAATAAAATTGCAAGTTATTTCTTTAAAAAATAACAATAAAACTGCAAGTAGTTTCATTATTATGCTATGAATTGTTTATTTTAACCAATTTACCTATGATATCAAAAATAAAAAAGCAGTAATTTGTAAAAACGTGTGTAACCCATATGATTTCTTTTAAAAAAGTTAAAAAAGAAATAATTTTGTGTTTGTTTTTGTTATGTAATTATTTAAATCCAGTCTTTGAATAATATGATTGGAGTTATTTGAAATAAATCATGATACATGTAAAAATGAATTATTAATAAATTCACTAAAATTGCATAAAATATGGCTGACATTATTTGATCATGAAAAACGAGTAAAATGCTGAAAATGCATCCTTGTATTTTCAGTAGTTTTGTATTTTCCGTATCAGAAAGTCAGTATTTTTATGCCAGAAAAAGTCTAGCAATAAATATAGTAACTCGTATATGACAATAAATGCAAAGCATATAATATTCACTACATATTTGTTAATTGCTCCTTCTTGCTGACCTTCAACATTTTTATGTTAGAAAAAGTCTAGTAATAAATTAAGCAACTCAAATGAGAATGTCAGAAGTAGCTACACGAATCACAGAAAAATATAAGAAATGCAAAATACATAATATTCTGAACATATTTGTTAATTGTATTTACTTTCAACATTTTTATGTTAGAAAAAGTCTAGTAATAAATTAAGCAACTTGAATGAGAATGTCAGAAATAGCTATACGAATCACAGAAAATATAAGATTTGCAAAGTATATAATATTCACTACATATTTGTTAATTGCTCCTTCTTGCTGATCTTCAACATTTTCATGTTAGAAAAAGTCTAGTAATAAATTAAGCAACTCAAATAAAAATATCAGAAGTAGTTAACCCAATCATAAAAAAAATATAATAAAAAGTTCACAGCATTTATGTATATTTGATAATTGTATTTACCTTAGGATTCTCGTACCTATCCAAGCAGATACCACATTTAAGGAACTGGGAAGTAATTTGGCGAATAACTGGCGATGTTACATCCGGTACTGAGTCTGGAATTGATGGAGCGAAGTCCTAAAACAGAAAAATAAATAAATATTAGTTTAATTTTAAAACTATTTTAATTAAAGAACAAGAAGAATTTTTTTTTATTCTTCTTACAACGTTAGAAATATGAGGTACATTTATAAGAACTTACTAGTCACTATCTTAGAACACGTTTTGTTATTAGATAAGAACTGCAACAGAACAATGAAGAATAAAGAATTGTGACTGAGTATAGGTATCACAGCTTCTTTTATACCTTTAATTGATACATAAAAATAGAAAAAAGCAATAAAAGCCTAAGAGAAGCTCAATTTATTGGGAGTACCGTCTATTACTAGGTAGATGAAATGCACATATATATTATTTTATTGGCAGTTTACCTGTGAGACAATCAGAATTCAATTTGTGGTAGAATTTAACGATCGGATTTAAAGAATCAACTAGAATGTCCACGTGCTGCACACAGTAAAAGATTCCGGATCAAATTCCGGTAAAAAGTACCGGTACTCGAAAAAAACCATTTTTACCGGAACATGTTAAGGAACAAAAATGTGATATACCGTAATTTTACAGTAATTATTACCATAAAATCACAGTATCACTAATTAAATAAATACTACTGTAAAACTTACGCTACAATATTTTACGGTAAAAAGAGAGTTTATGGTAAAATGGGTCTTACGGATGATTCACCCCAAAGTACCGGTAGTTTATAGTGTAATTTGATACGGAATTTTTTGCATGTTACCATATCAACAATTGTTTTATTCACCTAATGTAAGTTAATTGTTAAGAATTCACACTATACACTTTAGAACGATTTAAGAAATATATTGCATTTTCCGAAAAAGATATTATTTTAAGTTTAAAACAGATCATACATATTCAAAAAATAATAATAAATTTCACTTAAAAATTTTAATAAATTCCTCATTTCTTAGCATATTTAATACGATTTATAAATTTTGAATTGTGTTAAATTCAAAAGTTATAAACATGTATTTACTGTAGTAAAAATATATATTTATGATATACAAAATTTTGTGTACTTAAACTTTTGTGTTTATTAAAAATTAAATTATATTTTCATATTTTCTAAAGTAAATGTACGGTAAAACTAGCTTTCATACTTTATACACCTTACAAACGATTGCTCTAGAATAATTATTATTACATAAAATAACCATATACGCATTATTTTGCAAGAAAAATTAGAATTAGTAAAAAAATAAAATTTTGTTTGCTGATATGATGTTACAAATAATTTTTTTAACCGTTTTCTTATTTTTGTTAGGTGCTAAATAACTGAGGTAAACTTTCTTTACAGGAGACTAAATGTCTATCTTAAACGATAATTTGATTCTTCCGAAATCAAATGTCTATTTCAGACGATTTAATAAAGTTTGTTTCAAACGATAATTCGTTTTTCTCAAAATTAGACGTCTATTTCAAACGATATTATAAAGTGTGTTCTTAACTTGAAATAACAACTTGAAGAAAAATTTGAGGGACAATACATTAAACCTTGATTAAAAAAACAAACATGAAACATATGTCCTATCAAATCACACTTAACCTTGAAATATAAGTGCTTTTGCACATTAGGAAGTAAGATAGTACCCAATAGACACATTTTGCCTAAAATGGAGGATTCATATTTTACTTTGTAACCAGGCAGACGATAGATCTTGACAAAACTCTTAAACATTCAAGAGAAGTGTGGGATATGCCTGCTTAAGAGGTTTGACCTTCCGTGTCCATCAAGCAAAGAAGCGACACAAATCGTTTGTTCTTGATAATGAAAGTAGTTCATTGTCAAAGGGATTTAGAAGGTGCGGTTCCGGATAGGAAAAAAAAATGGAATTTACCAATTGTGCCTTTCAATCAAGTTTTACATTATTTGATCGTTTTATTTTTAGTCATTGATTAGAATGTTCCACACAATAAAGTTAAACTTAAAATGAACTTGAACTAGACACATATATTTATATGTTATAGCGTATGTACGCAAATTGATATAATGTGACTTATATGTGTGTAGCTTGTTTTGAAGCAAAGATTAAACTGAGAATAATTTTTTATTTAGCGTTGCCAGTACCTAGTTTTGCTATAGCTTTATATCTTGTCTGCGAGCCGATTTACGAGCAAACAGCAGCACTTAAAAGCTATGAAATTTCAACATGGAATAGATGTCGATCGGAATTTATAAACCTTTCAGATAAATTTTTCATTTTATTTTCTAAATATTTTTTTAAAAGATTAAATTCAACAACTGTTGAAGTTTAAATAAAAATGTTTTCAGTTGTCTAAAATTGATTAGATTGGGTAATAATCCTTTTTAAGCAATCTTTTTAAAAATAATTATATTTAACTACAATTACCTACAAACAATACTTATTTTTAAGAAATTTTAATAAAAATGGTTATATTGACCTATAATCATTTTTAACCAGTACTTTTTACCAAGTAAAGTTTAATAGAAATGTTTATATGAAGCAATTGTCATTTTTAAACAGTATTTTTTTCTTCTAACAAATATTTCCTAACTTGGTTAACTCGTTTCATAGTTATTATTGTCACTGTGAGAAGTTTGCATTTCTTTCATAATGAAATAAAAATATTTCTTACACGAATTGTGTTCTACGATTTCTAAACCAATAAATATTAAAGGGATGGAAGTTGATCAAGGACTAAAATATCACTCTTCATCCTTTCTCTCCTACCTGCAAGTAAGAGGATTTTCGGCACATGAGTGCAAGAACTCAAAGCAATACTGTCAATGTTGCAGTTGTAGTTCATTTACGTCACACTAGGGCTACACAATGGGCTATTAGGATAGAGCGTTCGCCTTCCAATGAGGCGAACCGGGTTCGAATCCCAGTCGATAAGAATTCCACATCCGGCTTGCACCGACCACAGTGCTGACATGAAATATCCTGGATCATGGGTTAGAGTCCCCTTTCCGTCAGGCTAACCGTGGAAGGTTCTCGTCGTCTTCCTCTCCGTGTAACGCAAATCCGGTTAGCTCCATCAAAAAGTCCTCCAAGAAGGCAAATTACTCTCAATACTCGATCCAAGAGTTCCCTTGTCTTCTGGATTTGGTTCAAAATTACAAGGCTACGGAGTTGAACATTAGTAGTCGTAAACCCATAAAATTGGGTCGGCTGTTCAACGACGGTTATAAAATGGGCTATTGGCGACCATCTGGGAAACATCCCTGAGGATGATCCGAAGACATGCCATCACAATTTTGATCCTCTTCAGAGGGAATGGCACGCCCGCTTCGGTAGCCCAAAGACCTGCACGCGAAGTCGAGCACCTTACGATAGAAGAGTTTAACGAGGACCAATACCGCACACCCTCTGTCCCTACGCAGACTAATCCAAGTGGTCACCCACCCGCACACTGACCGAAGCCAGTGATGCTTGACTTAACGATCAGTATACTGCCGAAGGTTGCAAGACAGACACAGAAAGTAAATTTGAAAGAAACCGTTAGAAATTACCATTGAAAAGTAAAATTGCTTGCCTACAGAACAAATTAAATTTTTTATTTTTTTAAATTTCATTTATTGATTGAACGAACTAAAAAATCAACAATAAAATCGAATATATTTATAAAATGAAACAGAACAGACGTTATTATTAATGCACAAAACTGACATTTTTTTGGCCTTTTACATTATGATAGAATTTAATAAGAATGCATTGAAATAAACAGCGCAGAAGTTCTGAACAACCAGAATACCTTGAATATTCTTTTTAAAATTTTGGATTGAATCCAATTGAAGTGTTTTAAATTTATTATGAAAAATGTAATGAAATACATTGCAGTTCGAATACCGTGGCCTACTTCGCGAATAAATGTATTCCTATTTTTGGATTATATTAGACTTTTACGGCTGAGAAAATAACTATTCATGTTCCGTTTCATAATATTTTATGTCTCTAAGCTTTTTTTTTTTAAAAAAAATATTTCTTTTCCTGAATGTAAAGAATAGTTAAAAGAAGAAAATGTATATTTTTATATTCGATTTTAATGGAAAAACTTTCTTACAACTAAAAAGTAAATGTTAACATCCATCAGCATAAAAGTTATATTATTATTCTATACTACGTAGAGCTCATATAAAAGCAAGGTTTTTCTTTTTGAGAAAGTGTTTTTTTATTTTTTAAATGGATAAGAGTTACTCATTTTTGTTACCGCCTTAAAGAAGGTTTTATCCAATAAACATTAAGAGGTATTTTTCAGTTTTTTTTTAAATATCTTTAATTCTGATATTGTCAAAAAGATTATAGTATGAAACAATTAATTTTTTAAAATTAAATAAATATTTAATTATGTTTTTTCACTGTTCGCGGCAGCCCATCAACCCCGATGATTGCTTCACAATAATTGTTGTTTCTTGGTATAAAACAGTTTTTTCTACGAATGTTGTCGTTTAGTTATTTTGTTAGTACAATTTAAACTCATTTTTTGAACCTTGAAACAACTTTTTATAACTATATAGTAAAAAATCGTTATTTTAATAAACAAATAAAAAAACGTTCATTATAGAATGTTAGGATCATTGCAATTACTTTAAACAAAAAAAATTCGTGTCAAAATTACAGTTAGAGATATTGTTAAAACAGAATGGCTTTAAAATTTGAACATTAAATTATCTTATTTCTTACAAAAAATTAAAAATCAAAATTATAATTAAGAAAATATATTTTCAAAATTTTAAATACTCCCTGAGAAAAAAAAAGTACGGTTAAAACTACCAGAATATGGTAAAATTTACTACGTTTCTGGCTCTGTAAAAACACCAAAAAACTCGGTAATTTTTACCGGGGTGATTTGTCATACATATTTTGGTAAAATTAACAATAAAACATGGTTTTATAATAAGTGACAAAATTTTGTAAATTTGGTAAAATTTGGAAATTTTATCACGATATTTCAAAGCATAGCATAAAAACCACTTAATCATTTAAATTTTCTAGTCAGTTTTTAATTCTTTACTAAATGTGTGAGTAGTAACA